CCCCCCCCCACTTCCTGTATTATTTGCTTTCATACCAGGCTGGAACGTTCTAGGAAGAGTGTTCCGGAGTTTGGCGCGCGTTTGGCGGAAGTGCATCGTACCGCACGTAGGTCATCATCGCCCAGTGCCCCCCTTGACTCGCAAAAGCACCTTGTTGAGACGTGACCCCTCGTAACTGTATCCCCACGTGTTCCTCACAGCGCACAGAGCGGTGCAGACGTTCTCTGCATCAGGCACGGCGGCGGCAAGCGGTGCATGGTCCCCGGGTGCAAGAAGCTCGTCCGCAAGAACAACCGCTGCACGAAGCACGCTTCCGACGGCTCGTCTGGCGCGCGCGCCCCCCCGCGGCCGGCGGCGTCTGCTTCGTTGGCGGCGAAGGCGGCGAAAACAAAGGCCGCCATATCGGCAACGACCGCGGCACTGACGGAAGCTGTCGGAGTGCCACAGGTACCACCGGCGGCACGGCACCAACGCGCGGCGGCGTCGTTAGCGGGTCCCAAAAACCAGGTCTACTCGCCTTCCCCGACCAAACATACAGCGCCGCCGTCGTCGCAGCGCGGGGCTAGGGCAACACCCGACCGGCCGCCCAGTCCTCGGGAGCGGCATCAGTCGCCGCCCCTGCGGCCTCATCGGCGTGTAGGAGCGGAGAGCGGCGGCGGCTTCGCCGCTGGTGGGCCGTTGCCATCGATGTCGTTGATGGCAGCGAGGGAACCGTCGCCCAGCTTTGGTTTGGGAGGCGATGTCCCTCCTCCCGGTGGGCTCTCTGCGCTCCGCGAACCGGCTTGCGGGGAAAGAGCTGTGCCTTCGGCTGTGGCGGCAGCAGCAGCTGGGCCGCTCTTGCAAGGGCAACAGCAGCTGCACGGTGCTGTCGGCCGGGCTGAAGACGGTATCCCCCGGGGTCCGGAGGTTTTCTCGGCGGATGGTAACCACCCTCAGCATCCTCGAGGCATGCCACAGCTTGCGGGCATGGGTGCTATCGGGCCAGGGTTGCGGAGGTTCGATGGGAGGGACGGCTCCAGGGCGGCGCAGGCGGCGTCGATGGGGACGGAGCCATCTCACCACGCCTATGCCGCGGTGGATGGGGGTGGTCTGGATCGCGATCTGCTGCCGGGGGTGATGGTAGCAAACGGGAGTGAAAGGGTTGGCATGGCGAATGGTTCGTGGATGCCCTCGGAAAGGATGGTAGGGCAGGCCCCCGCGCCGCCCTGCCGTGGCAGTCAATTGTCGAAGGGAGCGATCGAGAGGTCGCCGTCCGTGTCGCCCTTGCCTCCCTCGCTGCTCCTGCAGCTGCCGCCGCTGTTCTCGATGCCGTTCTCGGCATCGGCGACGGGTTCCCGCGAGGCTTGCGGCGGCGGCGGCCGCTGCGGCGGCAAAGTCGTCGAAGGCGGCGGCAAGATCGTCGAAGGCGGGTCGAGAGACGCCGCCGGCATAAACGGCAGAGAAAGCGCGACCTACGGCGGTGGTGATAGTGACCAGGTTCCGTTGAATGCACCCAACGCGCCGGCGTGGGAAAGAGGGGGGCTAGCTCCGACGATGACACTGGCTCACCCGTCCGCCGCTAGGGCATCGGACCTACAAGCAGCAGCCTCCACCTCCGCGGCGACTGTATTTTCAAGCAAAAACGGTGGGCTGTCTACGTCGCAAGACGCCGCTCTTTCTGCTCGGCTGGTGGAGCCTATACGCCCGCTACCCGCCGCCGCCTCCGCCGCCCCGCGTCAGGGGGCTTCGTGTTGTGGAGGGCGAAAGTCCACCGCCTCCGGCGGCGGCGGTGGGAAAGCAGCGGCGGCGGCCGGGGATAAGGCGCCGGAGAGGACGAGGGCGTGCTCGACCTCCCCCCCCGCGGAGCAGACGTCGTCGTTCATCAGCCTGTCCGTCTCTGGCATGATGTGCATGGAGAACTGCGGGCAGACGGTCCAGCAGGCGCTCAAGAAGGTCCCGGGCGTCCTGAGCGTGACGATTCATTTCCCTACGAGGACGGCCTCGATCAAGGTACAGTAAACCTTGGCGTTGTTCTGTTGTCTCGTGCCGTGTCCTGGGGAGCCGTGCCATTTTTTGACAAGGGTGACGAGTGACAAGCAATCAAGCTCCTGTACTGCCGCACTAAGGTAGACAAGGATGATGAGTTTATCAAGCAATCGAGCTCTCAGTTCGTGCAACAGCGTATCCTACCTCTCCATTTCTCTGACTCACTGCTGACCGCTGATCCCCCCTCACTCAAGTAAGGACCATAGACTGTTTGCTTTTACGGCGAGTAGCATAACCTGAAGGGCTTGGCTGTGTTCTTTGGATGGCCTCATGTAATGGTGTTTGCTTAAGCCGTCGAAAATTCTTGGAATTTTCGGGTTTTCGAGTGGCTAGGGAACGGACTCCGGGTTATCCAACATTAAATACACAGCTCGGAGGGAAACAAATTGTGATAACAGCTCGGACGCACCGATGCATCCCCAAAACCGCGCCTGCTCGTGTCGGTTGGGTCAGGTCGACACTGAGGCGAACGTGACGCTCGGAGACCTGACGTCGGCCCTTGACGCGATCGGTTTTGACTCGAGCTGCGTGGCGACCACGACCGCGCAGGAGCCGACCCTCGAGCAGGACGGGGTGAACGCCGTTTGGGCCATCGCCAATGCCCTAGGTGAGAGTGGCTGGCGATAGACTAAATGGGTGCGCGACCGGGTCGTGGGTGCTTGGACACGTGAGAACTACGGTGGCAGTGCTGTCGCATCGGAAGATTGGATTGCCTCCCGTTTGGGTACGTGACACGAGAGAGCTATTTTGTTTGTTTTTCTCCCATCATCGGGTTCTGTCGTCTGCCCCTCTGGCCCCTATCCTCCACTTCTACCAGCTAGACGACCCAACCGGGGTCTCATAGGAGGGCGGGGCTGGACCCCCTCCTGCGGTTCCTGCCTGAGGTATTTTTGTCGCGAGAAGGGTACAGCAATCCCTTCCCTCTCGACTTACGAGGTCGATTATGGTTTGCTAACAACGAGATTTGCAACGCGTCGCTTTCATCCTAGACCAGGATTTATTTCGTGAGAAAAAAACTCACTCTGCCGGGACTCGAACCCATGACCTGGCCCTTAGCAGGCTGCGAGGTTACCCACTAGACCTGGCCCTTACCAGGCTATGTTTCTGCGCCATTGCCAATGGGGGTAGATTGCAGGGACCGAGGTACGAGACCGAGCGGGCTGGTTTTTCAGGGCCAGATGGAAGGCGAGCAACACGGGCACCATGTGCAACTTTTACACCATCTTTTTCGCATATTAAGAATTTTCTCCCACACACTGCAAAGACTTGAGGGCATATCTCCCCTTCGATTCTATCTTGAACTGGTAGTACAGTCGAGGGACCCTTTTAGTGCCGGTACGTGCACAGAGCGTTCACCGGCACTAAATCGGGCACCCGGCACTATTGAGGGCTGGCCAATCCCTCATTAGTGCCGGTACCGGCACTAATGAGGTTGTGTTCGATTTATGAAGTAGCGCCCACGCTTACGGGGCCAACAAAGAACGAAATGGATCGACACTATTACTGTACTGTTGAGTGAAGTTCCAGCATGGGCGTGGGCAGAGTTGAGTTTTCTTTTTGTTGTCTTGGGGCGCTCTTTGGTTCTTCATTTTCTTCTGCACCTCACTTATTTGCTTATTTGTGTACTGTCGTCGGGACAAATTCTCTCCTGTTTGCCTGGCGCACCCGCTTCGATGTTGCAAGAAAAAAAAAA